GCGGATAAACATAACCAAATAGAGTATAAACATCTCATTTTAAAATATAAAAAATCTAAAATAGAATTATGATAATTATCGAGTTCTAACAAAATAATTAATTATTATCTTTATAAGAAAATTATATTATTAAACCAAATATAAATTACTTCGTTATTGAAGTTAAATTAAATTGTAATAAAAAAATCAAATTAAAAAATTACACAAAAATATGAATTTTAAATAGTTAATTTGATACTAATATCGATATATTTTTATCAAATTTTTATGATATCTTCAAATTTATATTTTATTCAAAAATAAAAACACCATCCCTTTTTCAAAACACATAAAACCATAGTATAAATTTTTATATAAATAGTTTACAAGATTATTGAAATAATAAATTTATAAAATATTTTAAAAATATAATTATTCAAACTTTATAAATAAAAATGCTAAAGTTAAATATAATTTTTTTTTAAATTACTTCTTTATTTTAAAAAAAAATATTAAATAATCTAAAAATGAATGATCGTTATAAAAAAACTCTTGCATATAAAACATCAGTTTGATTCTTGAGTTAAAATTCATAGTTTGACTTGAAATTTTGTATCTACCAATTTTTCAAAATTTTGAAATATAAAATGATGGATAATTAGTGATTCGTCATTGAATCATTGTTGCTTGGTAATAAATTAATCAAGATTTGACTCAACGTGTTCTATTTGATATGAGTCATTGTAGCACGTGTATCGTCCAAGGAATAAGGGGCACGACTCTCCTAGGGTTTCCTTATCGGGGATTTCTGGGTCTAATTCTAACTAAATATTATTGTCAGGTTGGGCAGTAAGAGTCGCAGAAGGGCATCAAATTGGCCCTTACGAAACAATGCGTTAGGGCCAAACAACACCGCAAACAGCCCTACATGTGTGTGCATACGCACGCATGCACGATTAGAGTGAGAGCGAGTTGGGAGGAATCAAGTGGTGAAACAGAGTTTTCTTGCAAGTTTCATATTTGGTTTCTTAATCAGATATGCATCTTCTTGTTGTTCATTTTTTTTTAAGTCTAGGGTTGTCTAAACTTAATCATATATGATTAAACACATGCTGTATTGACAACACATAGTTTCACCAAATCACCTGTGTATCTATCGGTTGTGCTTAATCATATATGATTAAGCATGCATAACACGTGTAAACATATTGCTAGTCTTTTTTTTTTTTTTGCTATTAGCCCTCTTAATATAACACTTTATGTAATATCAATATATTATTATTTTCTTCATCTTATATGAATTTTTAATTATTCATTATAATTTAGCAATATCAAAACATATACACACATATAGAGACACACACATGGGATGACGTGAAAACAATCTGTTTTCGTGAGACATGTGAGACCATTTTTTTACACTTGATATTCACAGCAAAACCTTGTGAAGGTAACATTCACTGTTTTTTTGTTGTAAATGTTCGGCTTTATTTACCTTCGCAGCATTTGCTGTGAAGTTTCAAATGTAAAAAAGTAGTCTCACGTGAACTCAACCCCACACACACAATACACACACACACACACACACACATATATATAGGCTTATTCAAGAAAGAATTGATTAGTTTGTGGTAACCGTGAGATCCAATGTGAACCACTCATTTGAGATATTTAAAGATGTTTTTTAAATAAGCTAAAAGGGTAATATAGTAATTATATTTTTTACAACTAATCAAGATATTTAATTAATTTTTTTAGAAGGAAAATTTTGATTAAAATTAGTTACCTAGTATATCAATTACCTAATATATATCATATTTTAAAGATGTTTGTGAATTAAAGTGTATCATGGTGATAACCTTCACAATGTTTTCACATGTATCACAATGTTTTTTTTTTTATGAAATGTATCATAGTGTGCATTTTCGTCATTTTCGTCATTTTCATTGTTTTACAAAGGGTATCACATTGTGCATCTTGTATGTATATTTGGGTATCACATTGAATATCGTTTGTAGGTATCACAATTTGTATATTGTGTTCACATATGATTCATCAGAATAAGGTTCGTCGAATAAGATTCGTCGGAGAGAGGAAAGAGGAGAGAGGATATTTATAAAATCCTTAAAATGCCCTTAATTAATATTTTAAGTTAAAATTACTAAAATTATTAATTTTTTAATTTAACCTTTGATTTGTGTTGAAATTGGATATCACAATTACCACAAACAAAATAGTTCTCATTTGATTAGGTCCATATATATATATATTGACTTAATATGTAACACTCAAATCTTTGTATTAGGAAATATATATATATATATATATATATATATATATATGTGGGTTGGTTCAAATACTAACCAAGATTTTTGTGTTAACTTTGTTAACCAAGCTCAATCAATCATATCCCATCTTTTCTTTAGGTTCACATATAACTCATATATTAATGACAAAGGTAATTAAGTAATTTGTCATTTATGTAACTCCCAACTCATTAATTGGGAGTTACAAATCTAAAATTCCCAATAATTGATGATTATGTAATATTGATATTTTTTTATACGTGTTCATGTTTTGTAATTTTGATTTATTCTATCCAAAATGATATTGATTTTGTAATTGTTAAAGAATTTTCGATATCGTTTAAGTAATATGGATAAATCTATAGGAAAACAGATCGACAACAATGAGAATGAAAAGGTTAAAATCGTCTACAACTACAATCGGAATTCGAATTCATATGTAATTGTTAAAGAATTATTCACAAGTGTTCATATTGTATTCATATATACACTAGTTGCATATCTCAACATTGGTTTGCTCCTGAATGTGTTCATAATGAATGAACTATTGTTCACAAACTGTTCATATTGTGTTCATATGTACATTAGTTGCATATCTCAACGTTGGTTTGCTTCTAAATGTGTTCATAATGAATGAACTATTGTTCACAAACTGTTTATATTGTGTTCATATCTGTTTTTTTTTATTTACTTTCGCGTAACAACTATTCTTATTATATTCATATTATGTTCATAAATGTTATACAGTCCAAGTTCATATATATGTCAATTTTTGTTCGTATTTGACACAATGATT